GGGGCGGTCACTGTTTTTCTTGAGCGAAACGAAGGTAGAACCGCGCTTTAGCGTGTAAACGTCCAAAGCGAACGCAGCCTTCATTTGTCGTGCCACAAATTTTTCAAGTGTACACACTGTTCGGTCGCGGGATAGAAAAGTCTCGAGTGTGTAGAAAGTAATCGATTAATACACTTAAAAAATTTGTACAAGTGAAATATCACTCTAATTTGTTTGGTGCTTAACGAGACATTATTTGGCTATTATTTCGTACATATAACTTGTGTTCGGAAACGTCACTACCCTGCCGGAAATAATTCTACAAAAAAATTAAATATAACTGCCAGAATCTAAAAAATTCTACGTAAATTTAAAAAGTGTTATAAAAATCAACATAAAAATGCTAGAGTTGGAACACTTTTGTTAATTTTTGTAATATTCTACAAGCAAGCGGATGTTTTAATTCCTCAAGATTTCGTTGTTTCTCAAATTTTTTAAACTAGTAAAGTTTTGTACTAATTTTTACAAAATTGTACATTTTCATGAAATACTACTTGCAATAATTTCTTGATTTGAGAACATTGTAATTTGTGATACTATTTTATAGATATTTTTACAAAGAAATAAATGTTTCAACGAAGATATAAAAATTTCTACAAATTTCTATTTCAAGTCAATTTTTTTTAGTTATAGAAATCTTTTCCGCTAGGATAGAGTGCCCTGTTGTATCATTTTATCCTTGTTTACCATACGGTGAGCAACAAAAGGTTTGCTTTCTGTTCCTGCACTGGTAAATACTTGTCTTAAGCCCGCTGCAGACGATGCTATTTTTCCTGCTGGATTGCTTGCGATTTAGTAAATTACTATCATTGCACCACTCAGCATTCAGGATTCCTAGTAATTTACTAAATTGCAAGCAATCCAGCAGGAAAAATAGCATCGTCTGCAGCGGGCTTTACTTTAATTTATTGCACTAGTTCACCAGTGTAGCAACAGGAAACAAACCTAAGGATACAACCCTTACGAAAAAGTAACGAAATAATTACTAGAAAATTACCATGTATATCAGTAATTGAACTATCAGAAATTATTGATGTACAGTCGGGAGCACTGAGGTTGCGACACTTTTTTTTTTATAAGTTTACGAACGCGCAAAATAATTCAGGATCCTGAATTATTTTGCGCGTTCGTAAACTTATAAAAAAAAAAGTGTCGCAACCTCAGTGCTCCCGACTGTACATACAAAAATCCTGTGATTGGTCATAAAACATGTCGGATGCGCAGTACGGATCGGCGCGAACGTGAAACAAAAGAGCGAGTGGGTATACTGGTTATACTGCCTGTGTTCAGCAGAAGTTAGCGCTTGCTAAGTGCTTTGCGTTCATTGGATTATACTTTCAGATCTGTGCTGAAATAGAGCTATTCTTCTAGATCTATCCAATCAGCATAAAGCGCTTATTAAGCGCTAACTTCTGGAGAACACAGCCATTGTGTCGACAGTGTCAGAGGATGCACAGCAAAATAGTTCCAAAAGTAAAAAAGTGGGCGTAAAGGCGCGCAGAACAGTCTTGAAACGGCATCGAGTAAAACGCCCGGAGTGGCCGTTCTCAGGTTTCTCTCTCTCTGGTTTCGCTTCGTATCGCCGGTATCGCCCGAAGAGAACGTGATCTCGCCCCGAGTGCAGAAAGTGCTGTCGAGGGGAAAACGAGGTGTCGCTTTTCGGTACTGGGAGGGGATTACGCCTATTCAAACCGTCCATGTGTTTTTGCGCGCAGGCGTTTTTCTTCCCGCAGGCACGGTGTGCGGACGACTGTTTTTTTCCGCGTCCTTCCTGCGTGTTTGGCTACCTGTTCGTTTCCGGCATTGTGCTGTCGACGCCCGGTGTCGCTCGTCGTTCATCGTCGTGTACGCTTTTACCGCGTGCGTGATGCAATCACATCTTCTACTCGCCTAAGCGACTGAAAAACTGTTTCCTGCGCAGGATCTCGTTCCTCGGATACTACGTATCGCATCGGACTGAAGGAATCGCGAGGAAAATGGCGTAAGTACTGTGAATCTGATTACCATTCCAAGTCGGATCGGCGGTAAGAACCGAGGAGATCGTAAATTCGACAAACGAATTCGCTGGTGGTATATTACATGGTCGAAGAGATTCTTGTATGAAATATCTATGCGATACACGTTTTCGTGTAATCATGTCGGTTAATCGCGCGATACGTACCCCTGAAATTTCATACGCGTGACTTTCCCGTTCACAGGGGGATTCTGAACCCTCTTTCATCAATAAAAGCCCCTCTAAAAGTGGCTAATATACGCCTTCTAACTGGCTACAAGCCGCTTTTAGAGGCGCTTTTACCGATAAAAGAGGACTCGAGATACCGGCCACGTTTACTCGCATTCTGAATCCACTTTTATCGATGCCCGTGAAGGATCCTTGAAAGTCAATTTCAGTCGCGCTGTTATCGATAAAAGAGGATTCGAAGTATAGGCAATTTCTTCCAAACGCTTCTCTTCACACGGTGTCCTCGTGACAATTTGTATAAATTTATATCTCGTACCTTGATTTTCTCTCTACACTTCACATTGTTTACAGGACGGATCCAGAGTACATGTTATACGTGACTAACTTGCCAATAGAGTTGAACGAGGTATGAGTTTTCAATTTGTTTAGTTGTAAATTGTACTTATTGAAACGTGCGAACCTTAACATTGATCTGATTCTCGTACAAATTCTATGTTAGTTACTTTTTGCAAATCAATGTTATGTAAGGTATCTTGGTATCTAATAACGCAAATCATTAATTTTCAAGGTTGCCATCAGACAAATATTTAATGAATATGGCACAGTCACCTCATTGATGAAGCTTCCTTGTGCTACATGGGCTTATATTAAGTACGCATCGTATGGCGAAGCCGATAGTGCAATTCGGGAACTCAACGATAAGAAACCATTAAACTTGAAAGTGGCACTTGCAAAGGATTCTTTCTCTCCGGGAGAGGAATTGAGGCCAAATGCATCTGTAGTTTTCGAAAGATCAAACTCTGCAGGCTCGCCACCTAATCACAACGATGGAAAATAGTAAGTCATCGATCATTATTAGCAACTGGTGTAGTATCGCAACACTTGATCAAATCAGTATTTAAGCTTGTTTCATTTACCTAGTTGTTTTTTTATATACATGGGTGTTGTATAAACTATTCACACAAAAAGAGATACATCTCGAGCATGATTCAAGGACTGGAAGATGTTTTTGATATGAAATATAAATCAACACAAATCATTTTGTTACATATACAACGTAATATAGTTGTACAATGTATAATATAATACGACATATTTAATTGCAGCCAGAGTATAGGTCGTGGCCAATCAATAAATGTACCACGCGAGCATGTGGTGCAAGTTGGCTTACCATATAGATGCGTAGACTACGGAGCATCAGCATCATCTTTACCTTATCCTCATACACTTGGCATACATGAAGTTGAGGATCGTTACGCGAATACAAGTCAATTGTGGTCAAGGTGGTTAAATAAATGCAACGCAACGACTGTTTAAATTTATCTTACCTTACACGGTTTCTTATTGCAGGGGTGTAATAACTGTCACGCCTGATGGAAAGAGACACGTTTCTCTTGGACGTGGCTATACACTGTATGAACTTCCAGAACCGTATCCTAAGATTGAGGAACATATTTCCAAAGTATACGAACAACGAAATAAGGTACAAAGTTGCGCGAATAATAAAATTAGCATAAAAGTGAAGAAAATTGTATGTTTACTGTACATTGTGTATGTACTACATATTTATATACGTTTGATTATACTTTGAGCGTAGTATGTTATTGGAGTTATTTATTTTACTGTTGTAATTTATGTTCAGTTAATATAATTTGCTGTTAGTTAAAATGTAATTATAATTAAGTTATAATTTTTAATTTTTTTTACAGGAATTATATCAATATTCCGAAGATAAGCTTAAGAATGGGGTTAAAAACTGTTCCGTTTGCTCTACCAAAACAATGAAACATTGCGAGAAGTGTCTCACATATTATTGTAGCAAAGCTTGTCAATTGGACGATTGGTCACGTCATAAGGCGGAATGTGAACGCATCCCGTAATTATATTTACATCATATTAAGTTGATTATATGTGTTTAACTTATAAATTTTTTATTACAAATTAAGTTAAACATAAATTACATACTTACATTTATGCAAATCAGTTTAAGGAAATTAATTCTTAGATATGTAAATTAGATATTAATTCATATACTTTATTATAGTTTAAAACATATTTTTTGCACTATGATATAAGTGTTTTCGATTACGATTAAGTAATATAAATAAAGTAGATGAATTATATGTTAAAAAACAGTTATTTTATTTACTCAATCCATCTCCATTATTAGTTACAATTAATCTTTTAGTTATCAATTTTTTTTTCACAGGGCGTTAGTGGAGGATATGAATGAAGGTATATCATCGTTGCAAATTAATCAAGATGTAAGTCAAACAAGGAGATCATCAGTAGCGAATGTAGTTAATAAAACTGCTAAATCTAGTGATGTGAAACTGCGACGACCTAATACATTAGTAGAAAACTCTCCAAATACAAGTTCAAATATCAATATGCATAAGAATAAGACAGATGTTGCTTGTACTTCTATGAGCAATGGTACTCGACCCAAACATTCAACTGATCAACGTGATAATGGTATTGCTGTACCTCCACCTAAGAAGACAGACAAACTAGTCGACGTAACAAACGTCAAAGAAAATTTTCAACCAGATATGTTGCATAAATGTAGCAATGCAAATGAGAATTCCGATCAGATGAGAAAAAACGGATATCCTTCAACTAGCTCCGTTAACCAAGATCGTCATAGCCGTAATTATCAAAGTGATTCAAATAGGTCTAGTTTTAACAGAGAGAAATGTAATAATGACAAAGTAAGAGACAAAACTTGCAACAATAGAAATTATTCTCCTCGAGAAAACAGCTTTCCAAGTAACAAAGACTCTACTGGCTACAATGGCAAAGAAAGTACTGATGGACAAGGACCTAGTACTGCCTCAGTGAATAACGACTTAGCGTTTTATAAAGATACACATTTGTCAAAAACAAAATTTACAACAGTGGAAGTTGTAATACCGCTAGGTAATGGTGAATATTGGATAAACAAGGTAGAGGATAAAACTGCACGTGACAGCTTGATGGTAAAGTTACAAAAAGTTGCACAAGAATCGCGCAATGTGCGGCCAATTATCGGTGAAATTTATGGTGTGCTCTATGCCACGGTGTGGCATAGAGCCATCATTACAGCTTTAAATCCGATAAAAGTCCAATTCATAGACTACGGTAATGAGGAGATACTAAGAGAGGGCGATGAGATCAGAGATATAGGAGATCTCGTTAAAGCTCCTAAATTTGCTCGAAAAATTCGCTTGACACGAGGCACAAGTGATAAGTATACAGATCTGCAAGAAACAGACGAAATGTCTGTTAGAATGTTGTCTATAGATTCTGAGAAAACTATAACAGTAGAAGTACAAGAACAATCGGAAAGCTCATCTCCGCGAACAATGGAAAGTCCATCAAATAAAACAGTAAAAAAGTTACCGCAAGTAGTACCGCAAGAAGTACCGCAAGAAGTACCGCAAGAAAATTGTCAAGTGTCACAAGATAAAGATACGAAAGTTTCTACACTTCAAATACCGAACGTCTTCGATGCTTTGGCTGCCACGTTTACACACAACGCACTTCCTCAATTGGAAATTAATGGCTTGATACAAATTAGTGAACTTATGCAAAAGAACGTTTACAGTGCGATGTTAACGCCTGAGACTCACAAGGATGACGTTATGATGCTTCTCGGCGATTTGCAAACTGAATGCTCAGAAGTGCAAACAACTGCAGATTACAAGTGTGTACATGTGCATATAAAATTGATAAATACATACCATAAGTTTTTAAGCTATTGTTTATTTTAAGCATAAATTGGAATAAATAAAATATTTTACTTTATAGGCCAAAATCAGAGGAATTAGTTTGCGGCTGGTTTGGTGAATCTGATGGCTGGGCTAGAGGATATGTTTCGGTATGTTCCGAACCATCATCCAGCTTGTCCATTATTAAAATAGATGAGGCAAAAGTTCAATCGACAGATAAAATTGTGCCATGTCCTAAAAAGTATCACGATATTTGTGCCTTTGGGGTAATATGTGAAGCAAATCAGTCAATCCAAATAAAGGTAAGTATTTTTGAAATATTTTGTATACATATAGATGTAAGTACAAATAAAAATTTTTACTTTGATGTGTTAGAGGGACGAAAATGTGTACAACTTCAGAGCAGTCTTGAATGAGAAGAACTTCAAGCAAGAAAGCCTTAAAATAGAAATAGCGAGTGAAACGAACCCTGAAGTGTTCCAGGTTGTGGTGAGACCTTGGAAATACACGGACTTGTTGAACTCTTCTCCCTCAGTTGAATTAAAAAATGGCTCCAAGGTTTGACCGTAGAATATATTTCATTATATTATCAATGTGATTTGAAATTCATTTGTTTTGTTAATTTATGTTGACATAGGCTGCGTTCCGATATTCACTGTCAGTACTGAAAATCTATAGTTTACGTCACGTATACTATACATTTTCAGTACTGGCAGTAAATATCGGAATGCAGCCACAGTTATTGGGTCTGTGCATAAGTCCATGCTGGATTTTGCGTTTGAAATTTACTTTATTTTCGGCACGGACTTATGCACAGACCAAATATTTGTTTATTGTTTTGGTTGATGTATTCATTGTTTTGTTTCACTGTTTTACTTTTTTAACCACGGTTTCAGATATGTCTCACAAGTTATCGAAATCATTTTAATATGTTCGCACGGTCTTTAGACGAAGAACAAGTAGATTATTACAACCATGTTATGCAATCCATTGCACGATATGCACAAACAGGTAAAATAGCTGGTTATGTAACGCAATAAATTAAAAGCCTCCGTTTAAAAGGAATGTAAGAGGGGTGTCAAAAAATTTTATTTTAAGAAAAATGGCAAACAGTAACTCAAATTACCAAGATAAAAAGTAGTGCTATCAAATGTTTGTTTTAGCTTTTTCTGAAGTTCTTATAAGCTTATAAGTAAAAATATTTATTATAATATCGCAAAAAGTTAAGAAATAAAATATTATTATGATATGTCCCTATGTATGACAACAGTCAGTTGGGTAGTGTTGGGAGAAAAAAAATGGAAAAATATTCGTATCATATTTCAAAGTAAAAATTTAAACGAAACAATTGCAGTGTAAATGTTATTAAAACATCCAGATTAGAGTTGTTATTGGTATTTTTATAAGTATCTCCATGGGTCTTTTTTTCAGCCAAGTCTAAAACCGTAGTTTGGACTATCTTTGCAATAAAAAGAACTGCTGCAATTTGACTTATATTCCTCTTACATCTCTTGAATTATCGAGGCTCTTGGTGATTGTCGAGGACCATAATTAATAATGTATAATTACAAATTATGTTCTTCTACTCAATTGCAGCGCCGTATTTAACTGAGCCTCCGGTTCGTAAACAAATAGTGATTGCGCCATTTGACGATGGCAACAGCTATCGTGCAATGATTCATAAAACGGAGAATGATAAAGCTACAATAATATACATCGATTTCGGCAATATAGACATAGTTGACATAAAACAGCTCAAAGCCATGCCCCAAAGCCATTCACTGGTACTAATAAATTATGTATATGCTGTGATAATAAAAAATACGCTAGCATGTTGAGTATCAAAATGTTTATATATGTTTTTACAGAAGCAAAGCTGTTCGGCCAGAATTACCTTAAAAGATGTTCCTCAAGACGTACCGAGTAATCAAGAAGTTGACATTTATATTCGCAATTTAGTAGGCAAAGAAGTGCCCCTGACGTGCACGTACGACGGTACAATTAAGGATGGAGTTTGCTTGACAATGCCCACGGGGGAATGTGTTAACGATAAAATAAATGAGCTGTTAATTCCAGGTTGGAAAAGAGAAATTGATGGTAATAATGATCATGAAGTAACTAAGGTTTTTAGAAAGTGATGCAACATATTTGTTTCCCAACAATTTATTACACCAATAGTTTTTCAGGCTCCTTCGGCTCGCCACGGCTATGTTGGAAATCGTAAGATGAGAAGTGTGATACGTCGAGAATTCTCGCGTGACATTTTCGAGTAAAAAGACATTAGACTGAAAAGAAAAACACTTCAGCTGCTTTAATGTTTGAAAACTATTCTTTTCCGACAAATAAATAAACAATCGTAGAATGAATACAGTACGAAGCCTAGCGACACACGTTTATAAAATATGACTATAGGTTTGTTCTTTTTAGCTGAACTGGTTACACTAGTTCAGAGTTTATCTTCTTTCCTCTACATGGAAACGAAAGAGAAATTGTAAGCTAGTACAGTCGGCTGAAAAAAAATCACGTTAATTTTACGACTGTTTATTAATTATCCAGGAAAAAAAAGAGTATAAATTTTTGGATTATTTTATAAGTATGTTATCTGAAGTTATGTTTTATCTAAATATCTTTTTATTTGAAAATGATATGTAAGAATTGTCAGCGTGTCATCTCTTGCCTCGACGTCACGATCCAACATGGTGACGGGCATCTAGGAGCTATAAATTATGCTGCTGTTTATTAAATCTATCTTTCATGATTCTCCTTAGTGTGAGACATTTAAAAGTCTTTGCATGTAGAATAATTATTTTTATCTAACAAAACCTGTTTTAAACCAATCATATGTTACATACAATAATAATAAGTAATATTCGGCTGTTTTTTTATGACCAACACAATAGTAATCGTAAAACCTTTTAACGGTCAGGCAGGATTTTAGTGCGTAATTCTACATTCGTGTACTTTTTCTCTATACAGCAGCCTTACACTATAACTGAAATTAAATATACGATTTCGATTGTAGCTTAGAGCTGCTGTATAGAGAAAGAGATGTACACGAAAATAGCATTAAGCAACAAGATCCTGCTTGACCGTTAAAAGGCTTTCCTATTACTATTGTGCTCATCATATAAAGTGTATACAATCTATGTACATTGCATTACTTTCTCTCTAGACTTCGATTATTTCGGTTATTTTATATGTAGAGGAAAGTCCCCTTTTATAAGATAGGGTCCTAATATGTAATAGCGGGGTTTCTGTTAAGTTAACAGGCATCATCAGTTGATTCCACCATGAACTTATTGTCCTTGAGGCAAAATTTGTCTAGTCGAAAATTCATTGTTAGATCGTGTAATCGTTGCAAAAAGAAATTTGTGATTGAATTTGAGTGTTAAAAACCTGCTGTCTCATATTAGAAACCTATCTTATAATAGAAGACCTTCCTCCACGTACAGGTGTATCATGATATAATTTCCAATTGTGTATTTTACAAATTGAGAATTATAAATTAATTCTTCTGACGCAGATAAAAAATGCTACATGTTGAGTGATCTCAGTATCGCAAGTTTAGGAAACGTAGGTGAAACAGTGGATGCGCTGATACTGTTCATACCGTCTCAAATGAGATACATGATGGGTCCTTACGATATTCAATTGATAACGCACATCATTGAAGTGATGTCTGAAATGGTAAAAAGAATGGGTTGTCGCAAAGTGTTTGTATGTTTTCGCAATGCGTGCAACAATGCAATTTAATTTTGTTACAGCTGTCAGAGTACGCTAAGAAAGCCGAGTTTTATATACCGAGAGCGCAAGAATTGTGTGTAGCGTTGTACGAAGACAAGTGGTATCGAGCACTGTGTATTAATCCTAAGGAATCTTACACGAAGTCTCTGATTTCGTTTGTTGATTACGGAAACATGGAACTGGTGAATCATAAGGACATACGAGTGATGCCCAAAGATTTTATTGTACCTGCTGCAATGGCGAATATGTGTACGGTTGTCAGTGAGTGTCCGAGTTTTCGGTGACCTTACAAGATACGATAATTCCTATATTCGGACCTCATCTATTGCCCGTTACAGATTTAGCACCGGTCGACAGTAAAGGAAACTATTCGAAGGCTGTGCAGGAGAAGCTGAATGAGATGGTGCAATCAAACTCGTGCGTCAAGATCAAAATTGTGGAGAAAAGCATGGAGGACGGCGAATATAAAGTCGAGTTGCCGGTGGTCCGCAGCGCGTTAATGAAACTTGGTCTCGTGTAGTCTTCGTACAAATTTTAATTTACATACAGCTTTATACATGCGATCTTGTTGCAGAGCAAGGCCACTTTTGGTCGTTATATGATTTGACTATTATTTTAAGCAGTAGACAGTAGTCACAAGTAACATTTCGTTATATTTGATTATATTTGACTATATCTCTTTTATTTGACAATTTCAGTCTGCTGTTATCATGTTTTCTTTCACAAAGAGCAGTTTTATTTCATTGAATCATAATGTGGTATTTACGAAGACGTTCTTATTCTTTTTTTTGCTACTAAAGTTTAGGTTTAAGATAGAAAGAAAACATTTGTGTATCTTAATAAAAAGATGACCATATAATATGGAAAATTTCGTCTCCATTTATTATTCAATTATTTTTGTGAGATTCGTGAAACTATGTGTACGTAGCTTTTTGTAATTTGTGCCACTCCATGTCGCGTGTAATATAATTATTCGTTTGCGCGTAATTTCGCGCCATTTTGCTTCTGATCGTTGCTCTTGTCTGAAGGAATTTTTCGTGGAAATATTGAACTCTACGAGACTGAGACACCGAGCTGGCTGCGGGTGAAACTGAAATTGTTACAGTTAATGCACAGTAACAGAACCTTAACCTTTTCGTCTCTTTTTTTTTCCCCTTCATGACGACCTAACCTCCCTCCGGGTATCAGCTGAGCACGATCGCTCTGACTCCGATGACACATCTTTCGCGAGATTCCTGTCGTTCGCCGAGCAAGAGGCTTCCAGGGAGCGAGAGCGGTAAACGATGAACGTGCAGACGAGGCACCCTTACGAGGGTTTGCTGCACAAGTACACGAACGCCATGAAAGGCTGGCAGTACCGTTGGTTCATCTTGAGCCCGGAGACCGGCGAGCTGCACTACTTCCTCAGCGAGTCTGAGAAGAGTCAGAGGCCACGTTGCTCGATTTACCTGGCCGGTGCTGTCATAGCCCCCAGTGATGAGGATTCGAACACGTTCACCGTCAATTCTGCCACTGGTAGATTATATCCAATAGTTAAAGTAGTTAAAGCAAGTCTGCTGACGGTTCCTCTCTGGCGATAAGACACCAGAGGGTCAATTCTGTATCTTACACTATAGCGAAGGTGTCAAGAGTGTACTGGCTTCACCTCTTTATAAAGCGATTCTTGGCGATTGTTTTTACCAGAGCGTACACTTGGCGTCACGAATGCTGTTACACCTGAAAATAGCCGTCAAGCTCAACATATTGGATATCTTTAGCGTCTTTCTTCAGATGTGAAGGCATTCACACCAAACAGTCGTAAAAAATCGCCTATAATTGTCCTTTTAGGGAGAGACGAAGCCGCTCGCTCTTAGCATTTTCACTATATTGTAAGATACAGAATTGACCCGTGGCTTGCTTCAATTTCGCTGCTGAGTTCCCGATGTCTTTCCAGGTGACATGATCAAACTGCGGGCCACTGACGCGCGAGCACGCCAGGAATGGGTGGACAAGCTGCGAGCAGTCACGGAGATGTATACCAGAGCGATAGCCAGCAGTCATCCCCCATTACCGCCGCGTGAGCATTCTGGCAATTCGAGTAGGAGCCCTGTCGTCAAGCTGGAGGTGTTGGACGCCTTTGCCAACTGCCAGGAACAACTGAGGAAGGTGGAGAAGCACAATCTTGCCCTGGCGCAGTCCATCGAGAACTCGGATCTGCATCTGGACTCGGATCTCTTGGTTCTTAAAGCTATGGCGCACACCACTTTGCACACACTGGGCCAATGTCTCAATATATTATATCAGTAGGAAGCTGATCGTATATTTTTTACGCTTATCTATCGATATTGAGATTTTTTATACCTGCGAATACGTAAGATTGTACCTTCCCTCCCGTTACGCATATCACTTTGTTTTCAACAATTATGTACTTATCCACAATTTAGGGTTGGCTTTAGACGTACACGATTAAAGACGAGGTTGATATCTCTTGCCATTATACTCGTACGTTGTAATATTTTTAATAATTAGGCAAGTGTTAAGTAACAATTTTAAATAATTAGTTAATTGAGCTTTTACAAAAGTAATGTACCTTTTACATATTGCGAACGAAATGCTAGTAGGCCCTTATGCTACTTTCATTCAATCACGAAGGGACTGCAGATTTTCTCAAACTTGTCCCATCGAATTTTAATAATGGATTCTTTGAAAGTTAACCAGCATATGGTATCACTATATGGTAAGGACAGTAATATTTTTTTACGTTACAAGTTTTCTACGTTTGATCTTCCCATAGTATATTATATGGTTTAATGATATATGTATGTAAGTTCCTCTCGACAACGCATATGGAAACGATTGCTGTTTGCCACTTCAATCTGGCCCTGCCAATGACAATCTCGATGTTATATTCTTCCAATGCAACAATACCGCATAAGTGAAAATGTAAGATATATATATATATATATATATATATATATATATATATATACCCATACAGCACAAGAACATCCAGCAACATTGCAGCAACATTGTAATGTTGCTGGACGTTCTTGTGCTGTATGGGTATATATATATCACACATTAATTCTGTTAGAATGTTGTACAAAGCATGTATGTATATATAGTATATCTAGG